TCAGGGTTTAGGGTTTAGGAAAGCTGCGGGAAAATGGGGGAATAATCTAGGGGCCGAAATAATGACCAATATTATGGTTCCATATTCCTTAGATGATTATAGTATATGGTACCTCAAATGGACCTCAAATTGATATTGGTAATAATTTAGACCCCTATAGTACACAGACATGACCCTGAACCTAAACCCTGAACCCTACATAGTGGTTTCCGTTTCATGTTCCCTTCTCTGTTTCATTTGATGCTCTGTTATTCCTAACATGCCCTAAACCCTAAACCCTAAACCCTAAACCCTAACCATTATTCCTAACATACCCCTCTAGGGCTTAGATGGGCTTAGGAAGGGTTCTCTCAAGGTCTGGGGCCCCAGTTTTGCGCCATCCGAAGTTCCTGATCCTTTTCCTGGAGTCTTTTAACATAACATAAGGGCTATAGTCTAAACTCCTTTAAAGGGGGGTTATATGGGGGGTTATATATTATAAGGGTTATTCAGGGGGATACTAGAAGTTTGGACTATATAGCTCATAAGAAGTGAATTGATTGCATTCTGGAGCTCTCGGGATAGGTTGTTCACCTCTTCGACCCGGAGCCCCGAAGCCTTAGACCTCCTCTTTCAGTTCGCAGGGTTTAGGGTTTAGGCTTTAGGGTTCCTGCGTTCCATTCCTCTTTTCTTGGGAAGTTTCTTGTCGATCTTCGCCTGACAGAGCCGGGGGGCGGCGCGGCCGCACCCTGCGGTGCCGGGGCTTTCTCTCTCTTTCGTGTCGCCCGCCTGAGCCGGGGGCGGCGTAGCCGCACCCTGTGTTGCCGGGGCCTCTCTTTTGGGTGGGTTTTCAGTCCACGTGCCCCAAGGGACACGGTTTTCCCATCCCTGTCAACTTTAAATGCTTGAATGCCATGTTCCTCTGCAATCAGCTTGCCTTGCCCCTAACCTCTTGAACAGGTTCCCAAAATGACATGATGGAACTCCAGAGAGTTTTCTTTTTCAAGGACATTGGTTTCTACGCCGCAGATAGGAGCGGAAAGCTGGGTTGTGGTGTGCCCTGTTGTTTCTGGGGCCCCAAAAGAGAACAATAACATGAGGATCCTACACTATGTGTAGAAGGCCCCGTCTACGTACACTGGGATTCCGGAAAAAAGCCTGTTTGGGGGATCCATTTATGCAGTCAGTTGAGCCACCCTTAACCCTGAGACCTTGATCCCCTAAACCCTAAGCCCTGAACCCTGCACCCTAAACCCTAAACCCTAAACTCTAAACCCCAAAACCCTCAACCCTAAACTTTAAACCCTAAACCCTAAACCCTAAACCCTAAACCCTAGATGCAGGATTCGGCATGGCAACGCCGGCAGCGCCGACGGAAGGCTAAAGAGCTAGCGCTCAAAGAAGAAGAGGAGGAGGAGGAGGAGCGGGTTTTGGAATCAGGTTTTGGGGCTCAGCATGCCGAGATTGTTAGGGGTTTCCAACTTTGATTCTTCATATGATCAGTATTCCTATTCTTCCTATTTCTATTATTGTTGATCGTATTCATATTATTTGCTTGCGATTTAGGCTTTGGGGTCTAGGCGTGCGCAGAGCGGGTCTAGACGCAACCCCCTTGCGGGAATTTTCTAAGTAAGAAGAATATGTCTCACTGGTTGTTAGTAGGGAATAAGGGAACACAATCCCCATATAATCCATTTGATCCATATTCTAAACTCCTTAAAGGGGGTTATATAGGGCATTATATAGGGGAGTAGTATAGGGGTCTATTAAGGGGGATACTAGGAGTTGAGACCATGGCTAGAATATATTCCTTGTTTCCCGTATCTCTGGATGGAAGTAGTTCTAGCAGTTCTCACAGTGACTAGCGGGAGTAGGTAGCAGACGGGAAGCAGCAGGAACAGTAGCAGTGATGGTATATCAACTGCAACTTGCAGTGGTCAGATTGATCATAGCGATCTGCAGGAGGATGGCGCGCAGTCAGACGAAAGCAAGGACAAGGCCAAGAAGAAAGGCCGTGCCAAGGCGGATGGTAAGAAGAAGAGAGCCAAGAAGGAGCAGGGTTAGTGGTTCAGGGTCATGGTTGATTTAGGGTTTAGGGTTTAGGGTTTAGGGTTCAGGAAAATATCCAGATGCCGGTGATGGCAGCATTTATCTTGCTTCCTCCAAGTGGCCGTGAGAACAGGTTAGACCCTAACTTGCACTTTGCACCAGTCTTGGAACAGGTATATTCTCCACATCACTTCGTGTATGCTTCGTCATGAAGATATCTCAAGCCATTTTCAGGATGAAGGCAGAACTCCGCCCATTGCGATTTGACATGTCTTAGCATCCCAGTACGTCTTCAACTTGAATGAGTTTTATAGTTGAATGCCTCCAACACGTGTGAGGGTTGCGGTCGCTACCAGATCAGCTATCAGCAAAATCTGAAAAGCAAAGCAACGTAAATCACAAACAACCCAAAACGGGCAGACAGCAACATCTGATGCCTTTTCTCTCTGAGTGGCCCCAAAAGCAGTCACCGAATGAAAAAAACAACCCAATGTGACAACCATTGGGTTCTGCCCCCCCCCTCAGTAACAGTTGGAGAATAAGTATAATATGGTTATATATAGCCCTTAATAGGACCCCTAATATAGACGGTTACTGAGGGGGGGGGGGGCAGTACCCAAGACAACCACAAAAACAACCAACAATCCTGAACCATGTCTCAGGCTCCTCAGATATGGGTCGATCTTAGCAAAACAGTTTTGTTTGTTACTGTTTGGTTTTAGTGTTGTTGTTTTCGGGTTCGATACTCCCAAGATAGGTGTCATTTCATCATTTTCTTGATTTGTTTTGAGTTTGCCTTGTTCCTCAAGGTTATCTGTTCTGTTGAGCTAAATAAGTCATATCTTAATATTGCCCAGGTATGCGCAGGCGTAACGATTTCAGACACTCGCAACATCGGATTTATGTGTGGTTTTACACATTTTGGTTCAGGTCATATTACCCTTCTGTGGGATTGTCTACATTTGCAGAGTGTGTACGCATCTAGCAAAAGGCTAGTGCCGCGTAATGGTGTCAGTGAGCCCTGGCGTTGGCACAGGAAACTATATGGTAGTTTCCATAAGTAGGGGGACCCCAATCTAGCTCCCAATATAGTATCAGCCTATTCTGGGAGCCCCCAAAAAGGGGGCCCCTAATTTTGGGAAATCCCCGTATGTTGGGTACTGCCCCCCCTCAGTAACAGTTGGATAATAAGTAGAATATGGTTATATATAGCCATTAATAGGACCCCTAGTATAGACTGTTACTGGGTGGGGGCAGTACCCAACCCATATGATTGAATTGTTAGAGTCATACAGGAGCCGAGGTTGCTTCACCTAAGCAGACGAGTTTGTGACAAAACAACATGGCTTCTCTGTCACATGTACTATGGTCTAAACTCCTTAAAGGGGGGTTATCTAGGGGAGGGGATACTAGGAGTTTAGACCATGGCTCACGTGGCTTCTCTGTCACATGAACACTTGGCATCCTATCCCAAGGATTCTTGTCTGCGTAACGCAGCCGTTTAGCATCTAAGTGACTGTTGACTCGAACACTTCCAAAAGAAGTGGCTGGCCTAATCCGCACACATGCCATATACCATTATAGATCCATGCATATATAAATACTCAAAGGTATCTCGCTAACCCATTTTATCCTTGTCTTTCCCCTAATCCAGGAGAATGGCAAGGTGAAGAAGAAGAAAAAGAAGCGAAGCAAGAGGGACAAGTCTGCAGAGGGGGACGCCCAGGCGCTGGGGACCAGGAGGTGTGTGAGATAGAAATTATATAGGGTTATATCGGGATATATAGGGATCTATAGGGATCTATAGAGGTTATATAGGGATTCATAGGGTTAGTCGCCCAGGATGCCCAGGACTCAGGGTTTAGGGCTGAGGATTGAGGGTTTAGGATTTGGGGTGTAGCGGCTCTAGGGTACAGGGTTCAAGATGTATAGGGTTTAGGGTTTGGGGCACGGGTGTCAGCAGTTCCTGTCCAAGCGACGCTCTTGTCCTTGGTGCTTACATTGCTGGGTCGCTGTTAAGGAACTTAAGTTAAGTTACTATAGTTGGTATGTATAGTCATGAATAGGATTTCCCCCAAATATAGTAAGTTGAACCTGAATTCAGTTCCTTAGCAACTCATTTCAGTGTAGCGAGGGACTTCATGGTGCAGGTCCTGCTCATAGGGCAAGAGTCGGACCAGGAATGGCACGCACACCACATCATCGCTGCACGTCTGCTCAAAACGGTACCCAGGATGTTGAGAGCCGCCTGATATATCTTGGAATCCTGCTTTCCATTTTCCAAGGGATACTTCCTGAATCCTGGACCTCGCCAAGAGGGAATCCAACTTTCTTGCATTAGGGTTTAGGGTTTAGGGTTTAGGGGTTTAGGGTTTAGGGTTTAGGGTTTAGGGGCCAGCGGCGACTGCTACTATCACAGCAGTTGGCTTTACTACCACCCAGGTTCCTGGGAAGCGCTCAACCCTGTAAAGTCTTGTCTCTATAGCTGTGGAGAAGTTCCTGCAGTCTTGAAAATCCACCAACAAACCCTAAGCCCAAAACCCCAGGATTTTATGGGTTTAGGGTTTAGGGTTACCCTTGAAATTTTCAAAGCACAACGTCCTCCTGGAACCTCAACCCATCCTCGGCCCATAAAGAGGGCCCACCCAGGAGAACGGCGAGGAAGAGCAGCCAGTTTCTGAGGAGCCGACGGAGGAGGGTGACGCGGGAAGCGACGAGGTGGGCCCTGAGCCCTATAACCCTACAAGCCTATAACTATAACCCTTATAAACCTATAAACCTAGAACCCTATAACCCTATAACCCTATAAGCCTATAACCCTATAAACCTGTAACCCTAGCACCCTATAAGCCTATAACCCTAGAACATTTGTTTTTTTAAGGTTTTAGGGGTTGATGGGCCAGGGGTATGGGGGCAGAGGGTGTATGGGCTTAAGGGATGGCTTTGGACAAGAAGGTTTAAAGATGCCAAGGTCTAGGGGTTGAGGGTTTAGGGGTTTGGGGTTTAGGGTTTAGGGTTTAGGGGTTTAGGGTTTAGGGTTTAGGGTGAGGGGTTGGAGTCGTTGTGGATCCGTGGGTTTTTGCATGTTTGTGCCTACCACGTCTGGATTTGTGGGGGGAGGAGGGCCAGGCAGGGAGGGGAGGTGATTACCTTCACTGCAAAAACATTGAGCCGGGATAACCGGGATAACATCACAGAGATGGCAGCTAGGAGGTGTTTTGGATGATGGCTTCACACATAGCGCACGCAGTTGACTTTGTAGCACGATGGTGTTTTTGCGAATCTCTGACTTGTTCAAGGGGTTCCCAGTATAGTAATCTTGATCATGGGCCCAAACAGGGACCCCTAAGCCCTAAACCCCTATACCCCAAACCCCTGAACCCCTCAACCCTAAACCAATCAACCCTAAACCTTAAATCCTAACCCCCTAATCCCGAAGCCCCTAAACCCCAAACCCCTAAACCCCAAAACCCCAAAACCCCTAAACTCTAAACCCTAAACCCCCTAGACCCCAACCCCTAAACCTCTAAACCCCTAAAGCCCTAAACCCCTAAACCCCTAAACCCTAACCCCTAAGCCCCAAAACCCCAAATCCTAAATCACTGTCTCGCCACAGGGTGCCAATGACGCCAGCGCAGGCGCAGAGGACGAGCCCCAGGAGAAGCTGCAGCAGGTGTCGGGCTCAACCTAGGAGGTTTAGGGATATAGGGAGATATAGGGATAGACAGATAGATAGATATATATATATATATAGAGGCTTTCGGGTTTAGGTTTCGGGTTTGAAGGATATCCTTCCAAACAATGGAGAACCAAATGCAACAAGAACATGGGAGATGACATGGAATCTGGGATTGTAGAGTAGGGAAGGTATAACCACGTGGTATCTTATAGCCTCATATCATACCTACCTATGTAGGTTAAACAGCTGCTGTTGAAGATGGGGAGCAGAGGGGAGTAAGATGCAATTAGGCTTTAGGGTAGGGTGTAGGGCGGCTAGAGTTTAGGGTTACGGATTGGGTTCGTATCCTAAATCGTAAGCCCCACACCCAAACCCTATAAGCCTCTAACCCTAAACCCTAAACCCCCAAACCCTATAACCCTAAACTGACTGGTAGGAGCAGGCTGAGCAAGCAGAATCAGAGGCTGAGGTCAAGCAGCCTGGCGCCCAGGGTTGAGGCCTTGGGGCTTTGGTCTTAGAGTTTTATGGCTTAGGGTTTAGGGCTTAGGGCTTAGGGTTCAGGGTTTATGGCTTAGGGTTTAGGGCTTAGGGTTTAGGGCTTAGGGTTTAGGGTTTAGGGCTTAGAGTTCCGGTTTAGTGCATGAGGCTTGGGCTCAAGGCTTAGGGTCTAGGGCTTGGGGTGTGGGGTGAGCTTTTGGAGGCTGCCGGGTTGGTAAAAGCAGGGCGATAAGTAGCAAAACTACACTTACCGTACCTGGGGTTAGTAGTAAACAGGGGAATATAGTACGCAGCGATTATATGGTAGTTTCCTAAAATAAAGGGGGCCCCAATTATAGACGCCAAAATATTCTAATCCTTATTTTCGGGACCCCCAGAAAGCCCATGTTCCTGTATTCCTTATTAAGAGCCAGAGAGTACAGCTGTAATTTGATTCCACTGCACGTCTGAGCAAGCAGCCATGGAAAGGCTTTCATTCAGGGTAGACCCTAAACCCTAA